AAAAACATTTTCAGCGCGGTGTCATATGTCGCGCGTTCTCTCGCTGCGCGCCGTTCGCCCGCTCACCGCTCCCCGCTCGCCCCCGTCTCTCATCGATCGATACGTGACTCCACCTCTCGCTATCGATTCTTGAGAGATGTCAACAAACACACCATTTTGCATGTCTGCCGAGTCCGGCCTTCCGCTCCTCCGTGCACTTATTGACTCAGACGTTTTTCTTAATAATGCGATAATAATTACGGATTTTGTAAAATGATATATAACTTTTCTTCTCAGTTTAACCCAATCTACTATAATCTTTGGAGTCGTCCATATCGAATCTGACACCCTGTATATGTCTTTAAAAGTGTCTTTAAGATATCTTAAAGATATCTTCAAGATGTCTTCAAGATATCTTTTAGACATCTTTTAGATATCTGAAAGTGGTACATAAGATGTCTTAAAGATATTCTTCAAGATGTCTTCAGATTTCTAAAAGATATTTTAAACTTAACTCAAAATGTTGCATAAGACATCTTTTAGATCCCTAAAAGACATCTTTTCGGAAAAAATGCAAGACATCTCAAGACATGACAAGATATCTTTTAGAAGTCTAAAAGACATCTTTTTGTCTATGTGGATAATTTACTTTCAGGTTAAACTATATCTTTATTTCTTTCAGATAACATCTAAAGAAAGAGACAAGTATATATACTTAACCTGACAGTAAGCTTATCTGACGGAACAACCGGTCCCTAATAAAATAATGTTTAATAATTATTTTCAAGTACAAAATCTCTTGAAATGTACGAGATTGTCAGAAAAGATCAACTTAATTAACTTACCCGAAAAAATAGAACTTATTTTTATTTTTTTCTTTCTTATATGTTGTGGAATTGCATCCTTCTATATGACAATATATTAACATTTTGTATAAAACATATACACAAACTGTTGAAATCTTAGGCATGTTCGGTATATGATACCACAGGATATACTGTGACAATACCGACAATACCATACCGAAGGCACTAAGTTGATGAGTATAGATCCAGGTAGAACACAAAATCAAGAACTGGTTGATGATAATAAAATTTAAAATATACATCAGGAGAGCGGACTGCTGTTGTTGATTCTTT